CAGCCGAAATGTTCGAATACGAACTGGAACTCAATGCAACTGTATGGGGGTCGAATGTTCGACCCTCATACAGTTGCTGGTACAAGTGATAAATATTGTGTACTGCCCCCTTACCTGCGCTGCTGTAACGGCCTCCGGTCCCCTGGTCCGTCCGCTTGCTGTCCCGGCCTCCTGGTCCGTCCGCTCGCTGTCCTGGCGGTCCGTCGGCTTCTCTTCTTCGGTCCAGCCGCGGCTCCTCTGCCCCGCCCCCTGCCTCCACTTCGTCTGCAGGCTGGGAGCCATACCCAGCCTACTATTGGATATTGTAAAATGCAATAGCCAATAGCAAGCTGGCTACTGCACCCGCCCACATGGGGGGCCCTGATAGAGAACTTTCTCCTTCAGGCCCCTCCTCCGCTGAGCCCTGATTGGGCAAAGTCTTGCACCTGACCTGTGGTCAGGTGCAAGACTTTAACAAATCAGAGCTTTAGTGGGCATTTTGTATTATGGAATGTACGCGGTCGAACAGACCGCGAACATCCTATAAAGTTCGGCGCTCGGCGAGCACTCGAACTGCCGATGTTCGATTCGAACTCTCAGCCCATCCTTAGTTTCTCCAACCCAACCTGCAGTGTTTATGGCAGTTATGTAATTTCCAGTTTTGCTCCACACCACAATACTGAAGATTAGTATGAATGTATTTGTGCCTTGCACAAACCACAGGTCCTCCTTGTGAAAGAAGTTCTTATTACCCTAAAACTTTATGGTTTGGGCCTCATTTATGCCTGGTTTATAAATGTTATTGCTATATTGTACCCTATCAGTTTTTAATTTGAATACTATATATTGTAATACATATGTTAACAGTTTTTATAACCCTTCTATGCTCATTCAGTACTTAAGGGTTGATTCACGAAGCAGCCGAAGGATCTAGCCGTAGCTTCGGCCGATCCTTCGGCTAGCTTCAGCCCCAGGACCCCTTCTGTTCAGTAGAACCGAAGGGCTGCTGTATGGGCTATTCACTTTAGCCCGTAGAGCTCCCAAACTTGGCCGAGCGGCTCAGTCGAGCCAAAGGCATATGCCTCGGCTGGGCTGAGCCGCGCTGAAAGCCGAAGCTGGCTGAGAGATCAGCATCCCTGGTTAACAGCTAACCAGGGACACTGATCTCCAGACAGCCTAACTCTCCCGGCGCTCTGGGAGTCTCCCGCTCCCGACCACCAAGGAGAGAAACACTGATTTTTCTTCTTTTTTTTTTTTAGTCTGACACGGAGCCATGTCAGAATAGAAAAAAAAAAAATTCACCATAGGTCAAATATATATATATATATATATATATACACACATATATACATATACATACACATATACACACACACACACACACACACACATACACACACACACACATATACATATACACACACACACACACCAACCAGTGATTTGTTTTCTTTCCTATTACCTTGCATAACCATTAAAGCATGTCATTGGCTATGGTAGTAAAACATATTTAGTGACAGCTGTCCCTTAAACCTACCTACAGTAAAACTTGAAAATAGAAATGCATACAAGGAACAAGGACTTGAGTATTTTTTATCCAGGTATAGTAATAGTGTACCAGCCCTCTTCCTCAGGGGTGTCCCGAGGCTGGGTGACATCCAGAGTGGAGACCGAGTGACACCCCGCCGTGACGTCATTGCACATGCGCGGTTGTCTTATTGACGCCTGCCGGAGGCCATCTTGGTGATGGACCCCGGCAGAGAGAGGAGGGGCCGTTCACCCGGCGGGATGAAGTATGCCCGCTCCTCTCTCCTGACATTGTCGAGCTCTCAGTCTGTGACCGAGTGCCCGACTTTTCATAGGGGGTGACGCCAAAATGACTTAAGTCATTTTGGTGTCACCCCTCCAATGGTGTCACCCGGGTGACATCCCCCTTGCGACACGACTGCTCCTCCGTATTGTTAGTAATCTGGTGATCTAAGAACAGTTCACGGTGCAGGAGAACTATTCTCAAACACACCCTCTGCAGGCTTCTTGCTGACCAACACATACTGAAATTTGGATGTTAAAAAAAAGTCAGTACTAGGAAGTTTTTCACAGCCACCACCATATTCATACCTGCCTTGGAAGTTTGAATTTGAATTGTATTACAGGAAGAAACAAAAGAGAGGAAGTTACACAGCACTGATTTGAGAAGTACACTCTCGGCTATCCTGTGAGTTCTTTGAACTCCAGTGGATTCAGAATAATGTAAATAAAAGAGGAAGCTCTGTGCCCCAAAAGGCAGGCATAGCGCACAGGCCTGGTTACCAGTATTGCCTGTGGTCTCCCTGCAGCAGATCTTCTCCCCATTAAAGACTTGCCATGCCTTGTTCCGCACTGTGTCTCTAGTGTGGAGAACAGTGATCAGCAAAGTATTCACATTGCAAATCTCACTCCAAATCTGGTGATACTAGCAGTCAGAGGAAGCAGTAATTTATATTGCACACTGCAGATATGAGTTAGCTATAGTATGCACAGCAGTACCTAGCCATCCTCGTATACCAGGAAGTGCACTAATACTTTTCTGGGGGGATTTAACACAAAAGCTACATTTTCAGGGTACTTCTTAGGCGCATATTTCCGAATGTTCCCTATTACGTTGAAAATCTTTATTTTTAAGTTCAGGTTTAACCCATATAACATAGCCGTAGCGTTTGCTGCAAAGAATCACAAACTCATAGGTTGGTTTCACCTGCTGCCTGTACTGTAATTTATTAAATCACTCTTTAACCTCCGAGTTATAGGAAATTGATCTTCTTTGTGGCGAAAATAAGATAAGATTAGCCACAAAACCTCCGGAGCTCATTTGAGCTCTTTTGGTCATTTCACACCAACAACAAAGATTGCAGATCATACTTTCCTGAAAATATGTGCACATGCATATTGAGAAAATGCTGTAGTCTCCATTTAAAAAAAATCATATCTGGATCCACATACAGCCATATTTTAAAGAAAATAAAAGGATTACATTTGGCCTTTTGGAAACAGCTGGTGTTTCTTTGGTACATCCTTTGTGTGACTTCCTTTTTTTTTTTTAAATTTAAATCCTATGTTCCTGCTTTGTTGTAATAATACCGTGCACCCTGAATCACTTCCACAGACAAACAGGAAGCTTTTGTTTTTAGTGATTGTTTTTTTCTAGAAGTCAGATGTTCAGATTACTTATCCGCTATGTTCTGCGAGAAAAAAGTTAATCAGATATAGTGCCAACTACAAAATAAATGCCACACAAACTTATGCTGGCCATGAAGGACCTGGTCCCAGCCAGAATTAAAGAAAAGGTATAGTATTCTTTCAGTTAGCACATATTTAAAACACCAATTAATGCAGTTATGTAATCAGAAAAATATCATGAAATCTACACTGCCTGGCCAAATAAAGTTATACGCTCTAACATGTTGGTGGACCACCTTTAGCTTTGAAAATGGCATGCATTCACTGTGGCATCGTTTTGATAACCTTATGCAATGTCACAAACATTTTTCCCATCCAGAATTGCATTGATTTTCCACCAAGATCTTGTAGGGATGATGGGAGAGTCAGAGCACTGCGTAAAGTCTTCTCCAGCACATCCCAAAGATTCTCAAAGGGGTTAAGGTCTGGACTCTGTGGTGGCCAATCCATGTGTGGAAATGATGTCTCATGATCCCTGAACCTCTCTTTCACAATTTGAGCCTGATGAATCCTGGCTTTTGTTTTAAAGATGCCTCAGGCCTAGTTAACACAAGATGCAGTTGTGATGCAGTCCGTTCAGTTTGGCTGCGGCAGCCAAATACATCACAATGCTTTCCTATGGGATTTCTGGTGCTCTATTCACATGAGTGCAGTCCGATGCAGTCAGAAAAAATACTGCTTGTCTATTTTAGCTGCATGAGATTGCAACGGAACGCAACAAAATGCATTAAAGAGCCCATGCAAAAGCACTGGAACGCACCAGAAATCCCATTTAAAGCACACACACAAAAAAAAGCATCAATCGCGGTAAAATCGCAGCAAAATGCATCGCAGCCGACAGAAGCACGCAGCCCTGGTGTGAACCAGCCCTAAGTTCTGCACCTTATACATTTTAGCTTTTGTTGTCATACCAAAATATTATACATTGTTTAAGGGACATATGGCGTTTTCATTTGATAGCAGATTTGTGTTGGGTACATATTTTTTCTATTTCCCCAGGTTTTATTTAGTGAGTAGTGAAAAAAAAAATTCATTTTCCTATGCTTTTTCCCAACACAGCTTCTACATAATGTGCTCAGCCCCAGATGTTTACCCCAAAATGTAACCCGCAAAATCGTCCAATTGTCTTTATTCAACCTCAAATACTATGTAACTATGTAACTATGTAACTATGTAAAATGATAACACATCCTTTTTATGTAATATAGAAAAATGGTTGAGATGAAAGAAAACTTTTGTGTTTTATTTTTGTAGGCGCAGAAAAAAAACCGTTTGGGTAGATTGTTGGCATAACATTCCGATAAGATCAAGTTGGGTTGGTGAAGATGCAGATTAGCATCTTGATGACATAGGTTTACCATCACTTCTGAATGACATTGCACTTGCTTATGCAAGCATTTGACACTTGCAGCAATTCAAAAGTCATAGACATATACATTTTTTTTTCTACATCTTTGTTTAGATCCAGTGGTCTGACACTAGTTTAGACCTAATTTTAGTTGCACTTTTGTTGAACTTTAGATAAATTCCACACTGGTTCATTATATGCATATGCAGTATATGATGTATAATTGTTATATATGAAACATGCATTGTTTTTAACTGCAATTCATTACTTCTTTACTCTGTACCTTATACTCTTTACATTATTGAGAAGCTAAAAGAAAAAAAAAACTCTCCTCTTTAAGGACATTGTTTTTCATGATAAAGAGGAACACTATTCCAAAAGCCCCATGAATTCGCACACTAATACATATATATACCTAAAAAATGAAAATGCTTTTCAATGAAAAGCAAGTCCCTACCTTTGTTTGGTTTGTTGCACTTCTGTACGACTTCATTCTTTTCAAGTTTGGCCTCTATTTCTTTCCATCTCCGTACTTGTTCTTCTCTCATCTTAAAGAACAAGATCTGTTTCTGTTCTTCACTAAGTTCTGCTAAAAGTTCTGGGTCGATAAACATGTCGGATAATATCTGCTTAAGCATGGCTGCTGTTATTTATACTAGTTTATATAATGAAATCCTTGCGATTCAACCGCAATAGGTAGGATTCTGGAAAATTTTCAAACTGTATTTTTATCTTGGGATTCAAGGTTGAAGCATATGAGAAGACTGTACAAAATCCATGTCATAGCGTTTTATTTTTTCATCTCTGAAATAGAAAATAAAAAGGGTAACACATTAAAATATGCAGAATTTATAAAACAGCAAATTACATTGTATGCTACATATGCATGGTCAATGTAAGGTAAATCGAAGAAGAAGAAGACGGTAAGTGGTGACATCTGCATCCTGTAGTCCCATCGTAGACTGATCCAAGACCCCCAACTTTTGAGTTTCTAAAGGCATATAAGTTCACATGGAAATAAACGTACTGCCTTGGGCCCAATCAGGTGCAAGACAGTAATAATAGATAAAGGAAGTTGATTCTGCATGGTATTTCTCGTTACCCATATTTTTTCCCTGCTACATCAGTTTGCCTGTAGCACAGGAGGCAATGAAATTTGAAGTGTGTGTATGTATAGCATTTCTTTTTTTAATTTTGGATAGTGTGGTTTTTTTTTAAAGCTGGCTATGCCCCCCCACCAGGTAGTTGCACACTCACTGGTGACCACTGTAAACAAGATAGAAAGTAATGGGAAATCTACATTTTTAAAGTTGTCACCAGAACAAGAGGTAAGTAAATCTTTCAAAAGAGGCACCTGCTGCAGTGACAGATGTCTTCAATTTGTAGAGATTTCCTCTAAATTCCTGTTGCGTTTCCAGAAGAGGAAGTGAAATTATCCAACCCTAAGGGCCCGTTCACACCAGATGCAGGGCGTTCCGGACTGATTCTGGCCAGAACGCACTGCCTCGCATTGTGGCCGGCTCAATTTTTGGGGGGGCAGGAGGGGGCGTGGCTGGCCATTGAAGTAAATTACACCATAGCCACGCCCTGTGGCCGCATTGCGATTTTGCTTTTATTTACTTCCCTTACAGAAACCACTAACACTAAAACTGTCAGAGACTACCTGTCATATTCAGGGCAGTTTTGTTTATGTTTGGTGGAAATAACAGTTCTGACACCTTGATACATGGGGGCTTCATTCAAGAGACCTTTGTGATGTTATACAAAACAAAATCCTAGAATTCTTTGTTACCCTCAATGCTATCTAAAATAAAAAGGCAGATGCCAACTCCAAACCCCCAGATGAGATGAGAAAGAAGGACACCTTCCAACACAATGCAGGGAATTTATCATTTTGATTGCATCACTGGTGTCTTTTAAACTCGTTATAGACCTGATTTCTAGTGCCCATAGCGACAGATTTATTATCCTAGTTTATGTTACCTGACTTGAGGGAATGAAGCTGAATTATCTTTGGAATACTTTACAAAGTGCTCAAGTGGACTTCTAGAATGTGTGACAGCTTGGAGGGTGTTTAATGGTGCAAATGCTTGACGCAAATACTGCGCAGTTGACAAATTATATGAAATGTCAAAATACGTGCAATGAGTTGCAAATATGGTACAGGAAAAGTTAGAATGGTGCTAGAACTGAAGCATTATAAAACAACCACTCTGCAGGAAGCTCTACTGTTCTGCAAATATGAATATGTCACAAGAACACTTTTATAAAGACGCATAACAGAGATAAAACTTTGCGGTTAGTTAGCATGACATTTTGTTCTTTGCAACTAAAAATTTTGTTGAAAACACGTTCATAAATTCTCCTCATGTATTTAGGCAATGGGCACATCCCTGATACGCTCCCAGCTATGCAGACCATTAAGAATCTATATGCCAAAAATGATTAGGTAACCACATAATTATTTTCCTTCATACTAGCTTTTGCAAATGGTAAACAAGATAATTAAGAGATAAGTTAAATTTTCTTAGTGCATAATAACACTTTCGGTAGTTCAATAGTACATTTCCATAGATATATCAGACCAACCAAAAAGAGGAACAACTGAGGAGGAAAGAGGGACAGGGGGATCTGATTCCAACAGAGTCGCTGCAAATAAAAGACAGGTGGGCGGTATGCCTAAATCTATACTAAACTCAGGAGTTAAAACATAAAAAGTAATTCAAGTACCCTAACTATTCATAAAAATCTACCTTATTTCTGCATCATTTAGATGTAGATCCCTAAATCATCTCTGAATCCATTCTGACATTCTTTCTTAAGGTGGGTACTTTTGTTCCCCATGGTACCAGTGTTTGTTGTAAAATATCCACTGCTCCAAGCCCGATCCCATGATGAACTACAATCTCACATTAATGTACAAGTCCATCCTGTGATTGACTACTACTGAGATAGTAGTCCATCACGGGAGTGAACTGTGAGAGGTGGCTAGTTTACATCACCCCATGTAAACTATAGATTTTATACCTTAGTCTGATCTTGTTCCTTTATTCCTTGCTTTGGTCCTTTTAATGTGTTTGTGGACTATAACCAATGCAGGGCGGAGCAATCTTACTGAAAGGAGGCTGGGCCATTATTAAATAAGAAAATTACTGGATTAGATAACATAAGGGGGGTTATTCCCCAAACTGCTCCCAACTTTGTGAGAACAGTTTGGAGATGGCCCCTTCCTGTTCCAACATGACTGTGAACCAGTGCACAAAGCAAGGTCCATAAAGACATGGATAAGCGAGTTTGGGGTGGAGGAACTTGACTGGCCTGCACAGACTCCTGACCTCAACCCGATAGAACACCTTTGGGATGAATTAGAGTGGAGATTCCGAGCCAGGCCTTCTCGTCCAACATCAGTACCTGACCTCATAAATGCGCTTCTGGAAGAAGGGTCAAACATTCCCATAGACACTTTCCTAAACCTTGTGGACGCCTTCCCAGAAGAGTTGAAGCTGTTATAGCGGCAAAGGGTGGGCCAACTCAATATTGAACCCTACGGACTAAGACTGGGATGCCATAAAGTTCATGTGCGTGTAAAGGCAGGCATCCTAATACTTTTGGCAATATAGTATATCTGAGTCTAGCAGAGAAACAAAGAGAAAGAAAATGTGAACATTTTTAACTGTCTGTGAATGAATACATCTAAAGCCTGAAGACATAATACCACAGATATACACGAATATCAATTTCTAAAATTTCTAGAATCCTAGACATACAGCCTAGTATTTAATACATAGCAGAGTACCCTACAACCTGTGTTGGTTACATCCATAACAATTTGTGCTGCAGGGTGGAGAAGCAGAATTGTGTAACTTTGTAAATTTTGTTTGAAAAAATTAGTTTCCAGAACATTCATTCAATTTTTTTTTTTAAACTAGATCAAACTGACAATTGTTTTCAACCATAGTGACGAAAAAAAGCAGGATGGATACTTTTTCTTGAATGAACAACATTCTAAAAGTTAATGTGGTTTTTGAAACTCCAATCAGTCGAAAATTGAATGTAAAATTCAAACAAAATCATGTCTCTGATGGAATTATTAAATGTTCTGACAGGGTTTTTAGTATGAAAGTTCATATGAAAATCTATCAGTGTATGGCCAGCTTTAATGTTCCTACAGGATGTCCTTTCCGATTCAGAAGAACAGGGTGGGAAGTTGCAGTTAGGGGAGGCAAGGGGACATGACGGGTAGAGGGGAAATGGGCATACTGAGGGAAGAATTAGACATGGAGTTTTAGACCCTACTTTAGTTACAGCAACATTGTCTACCATATTGAAGGATGAATATATATAGCTATCTGTGACAGAAACCTGTTCCTTTATCTCAGAAAGGCATTTATAACATTTGCCTCCTTCCTTATGTGGTGATTTAGTTACAGTTCACCAGTTTTCATCTTGGCAATATCTAAAATCCAACCCCAAAAATTAAATAAGAATGTTTGCAACTTTGAAAATTCAGATCAGAATTTTAAATGTTAAGTTTAATGCCCTTTGATAGTTATAAAAATATGTGAATGGAGCTATCTGAAAACCAGCAAAAGCAAGCGGTGTATGTAGAGCCACATTTTTGTTTTTGTTTTTGTTTTGGATGGAGTAGAGAAAAGTAAAAAAAAAAAAAAGTCAGGTTATTTCTAGCTGTCTATATCGTGATTGGCAGATGTTACTCCACTTCCGATTTTAGAGACTTAACAGGAAGAGGAAAGCTCTTTACTGAAAAGAAATTCCCTTTTTCAGACAGTTGTCACCAAAACATCTCAGTTGTCCTCACTGGACGATATCTTCACCTTTTGCCCTCAGGACAGCTTTAAAATGTAGAATTTGCCCTCATTTTCTGTCTCACTAATAATGGACATCAGAACAAATAAAGGGATGCATTCTCCCCAACAGGAGCACAGACATGGCAGAGGGTTTAACCCTTACCCACTCTATCCAAAACTAAAGAAAAGTTTTGCATTTACTTACACTATGAACCCAGCAAAGGTCTAACCCTGAATCACATTGCACTTCTCCATTGATTTTAGAAACTAGTATATTTACTTTCATTTTTCTTTCTTTACAGAAACTCTGGCTGTTATTAAGAAGTAATGTGAGGTTTTCACTTTTATTAGAAAATCAGTGCTGACGCATACTGAACAGTACAAAATAACCCAGCAGCTACGTACACAAAGGTTAAGATTTTGTAATGAAATCCAAGTTAACAACAGCAACTTGTTCTCAAGTGATTGCATAATTTTCAATGACCTTTTTAAAACTAAATAACTCCAGTCAAGTTCTATAATGTATTTGTCCTGCCCTGAATAGCAAGTAATATTTTAATTGTTTAATGCTAGTAGGGAGTATTTACTAAAATTGGATTAAAGATCAACAGTCATGTTTCTGTTGTCATTTTCTAGTGCTGAAAACAAACTGATATGGTCAATAAAGACATGTTCCTTTATTTGAGTTCCTTTTTTTAATCTAATACATCAAATCAGCCCCAGGTGATGTTTAGTATTACAACGTTCTGTGACCTTACACACTCTAGAGAGGAATATTCTCCAAGCATGGGGTTACAATCCACTCATGGAGGATATTGAGAAAGTAAATAATAGCTAGAGAAATGTTAATAGCTCAGCATCAGTTCCGAGACACAAGAAATCT